CTCAAAGTGTGTTACAGTTTTATAGTTTTTACCAGAGTTAGTAATGAAGATGTGCAGTACCTTACTATACATATTCCTTTTGTTTCCAAGGGTCTGACCATGCGTTTCAACATGCCAACTGGGACCAATATGCCCCATCTCAACTACAACACTCAAACGCCATATATTCCTTTCAATCTGGGAGCTTTGTCAGCAATGTCTAACCAGCAGCTGGAGGTAGGCAGTGAATCTAAATAGCATAAGGTGTCTATATTACCTTAAGCATATTTTAATTATTCTCATCAAGTTACAAATGGATAATTAATGTAATTCTTAAATATCCTGGTATTCAAGAAAGTGTCCCCTGATTGATTAGTGTCTCATTTTTTTTAAAGTAACTACTGTTTCATTGAAAATTTTACTTGTGTACATATTAGCAACACTGAATCTTGACTGTAGATACAACCAGATTAGTAACATTAAAACAAGTAATAATGTTTGACATGCACATAGTGAGTTATAATTGTGATAAGTGATGGTCAAAATAAATAATGCAATGCTACAAAAAGTTTAGATGCAAGTTTAGTACTACTTTAATAATCTAGCTACCACTTAATAAGCTGTTATTTTAAAACTGAGATTTATGTTTACTGTTAATATTTTCTCTCTCATTACTGCAATCCAAGCTCTAATCATGTATGAATTTTTCCTTCATGTTACCGTTCATTTGTGGGGTATAGTAAAAAGGTTAAAGTATGCTGGCTTAAATGGGTGAAAAGGGTTTCTAAATGTGTTGGCTTGTGTTGCTTTGCACCTCCCTGTTATAATTTGTTTTCTGCTCATCTCTCAGGACCTCATTAATCAAGGAAGAGAGAAAGTTGTAGAAGCCACCAACAGTGTAACTGCAGCAAGAATTCAGCCCCTTGAAGATATTATCTCAGCTATAGTAAGTAAGATTGATATAACTCACACTTGGCTAGAAGCTGGGAAAATACTGAGCAGTATCAAAGAAAAAATGATTATTTGTTGGGTGGTGAATTGTAATTTTATTTTTAAATTAAAATACAAGTCTCTCAAATAATGTTTCTCCATTAGCATAACTTGTAGTAACTTCTAATTAACGGCAGTGAGGCAATAGTATACGTGTCCATAGTAGTCTTGGAGTGTCAGCAAATTGGTCAGGCACTCTTCACGGTGCTACTTGTCATACAGTAAAAATACTGCATTGTCCATAGGAGAGTAATAGGTAAGCTCCACAGAAGAGTACTCCCTCTGTTCTTTCCCATCCCCTTTGTTTTAAAAGACAACATTTAGAAACGCATTGTCTGAGTTGGTAAAAGTAAAGAATGGGTAACTTTGGGCTCAAGCTCTAAAACCATGCTTTTTTAGAGCCTTCACTGGACTTACCTCTGGCGCACAGGCAGGTTTGCTCTTACTTTTCCACCAAAATTACATTAGTCATGTTTCCTTTTCAGTGGAAGGATAATATGACCCTGACGGAGAGCCAGGTACAGGCCTTGGCCCTAAGTAGACAGGCAAGCCAAGAGCTGGATGTGAAGCGCAGAGAAGCCTTGTACAACGATGTCCTGACAAAACAGCAGATGGTAAGAAATCTGAGTGTGTTTTTGATAGCTGCATTTGTGCGCGGCAGGCCATGTGGGTGTCAGCTACTCTAACCAGTACAATATCGAATGTTGGCTTATCAGTCTCATAGGCCAGGTAATAACCATCAGCATAACTTCCACCATACCAGGACATGCTGGTTTGGGCAATGTGGTAGCGTTGCATTGTTTATTTCCTATTTGGGGAGGTGTCTCATGAAGTGAGAAATAGTCTCCAAAATGTGTTCCTTTTGGGTGTTTTACTTGAAATGTTAGAGGGCCAGTGGCTTAAAGAAATTTAAAAACCTGGCATTAGACAGGATGTGTGGGGTCAGACTTGTACAAAGACTAGTTATCCTAAAACAGCTTGATGCCCTGGGCAGCGGAGGTGGATCCCGCCAACAATGCCGACTGTTTTTTGGGGGTTTTTTTGCAGCCTCTCTTCTCCCCCCCAGTCCCCATATCAGTGCCCTGGGCTGCCACCACAGTTACACTCCCCCTTAGTTACACCGCTGTTATCAGCCCTAGGTGTCTTGCAGTGTGCATATTTTATAGGCATACATCATAACTTGTCCCGTTTACAGCTATATAGTTCTGAAAAACAGATCCAAGTGCATAAACTCTTACATGCCTCACATCTTCCTACAAGGAGGATCCAAAGAGATCCCCTGCCAACATGAGCCTTTGGAAGACTTTCCCACTGTCCTTTGCCAGTTACTGCGAAGTTCTGAGCTTTGGCACCAAATGAAGTGTGCACGTTACTTAGGAAGCACTGACGAGTTCTGTGGGTTTAAGCTGTTCTGTGAAATCGGGACCTTTCTTTGTAGGCATTACTCCTTTGGGAAGTGTTTTCTCCTTTTGGCATTTGTCACTAAATGTTTATTTGTCAATCAAGAAGTAGGATATTCAAAAGGATAATATATGGTACCTGACAAAAAATGCACTAACTAATACATAGGAGTAATTTCACAGTAGAGTGCATGTCACCATGGCAACTAACATAAATGCTGCCTGCAATACAATAGGCAAGTCATTAGGAGGACTTAGCCCTAAATGGTGTTACTAACTGGTTTCTACAGTAATCAGCTTGTGAATGCCATCGCATTAGTGATGGTGATAACAATAATGCTTTTTCCTTCACCCATGGTACCCCTAGCAAATGGATTTTAACTCTGAACTTGATACTTACTTCATTGAGACAGGTCATGCACTTGTAACAGCTCTACTTTCCCTCCACAGCTAATCAGTTGTGTTCAGAGGATACTTATGAACAGAAGACTACAGCAGCAGTACAATCAGCAGCAACAGCAGCAAATGTCTTATCAACAAGCAGCAATGAGTCATCTTATGATGCCAAAGCCTCCAAATTTAATCATGAATCCTTCCAACTACCAACAAATAGATATGAGAGGAATGTATCAGTCCGTTTCGGGTGGTATGCAGCCACCACCACTGCAACGCGCACCACCCCCAATGAGAGGCAAAAATCCAGGACCTTCCCAAGGGAAATAAATGTGATTTTGCACTTAAAGCTTAAAGGATTGTTAAAATCAGAGAAAGAACTTTTATTTTTTTAGGAATCAATGGCTTAACAGAACTCAACTGTATAAATAGTTTGGTTGGTCCCCTTAAATGCCATGTTCCATATTAGTGTTTCAGCTTTGTTTAAATAGGACATAATGTTTTCTCTGATTTGTCAGTGATGTTGCCTAGAATCTTCTTACATGTTTTAAGTACAGGAGATATCAAATTGTTTTCAGTGAAAACAAGTCCTTCCATAACAGTAGCAGCTCCACAGGTTTCCTGTCTAAACTCCTACGCTTGCTTTTAGTAGCCATGAAAATATTACCAGATTTGAGAGGCTTAGGGAAGAATACAGATCTGTATATTTCAGTATGCCATTATATAACATGTACACAGCTGAGTTCTTGATTAGAGTTGATTCCTCAAATTATGGAATACTTTTCTACTTGCCCGTTTTTTTAAATTAGTGGGAGTGTTAAGCCAGAAGAAATAGTCTAATTTCCTTTTGACTGATGTCTGGACTCGCACAGTATCACTTGTGCTGAATAAAACAAAGGAATTGAAAACTATCTTGAGAGAACTGAGTGCAATATTCTTAAATACTACTGCTCTGAAATGTCTGGGTCATGCAGTTATCCTGAAACTGTTTACAGCCTTAATCTGCGACTGGAGAAGAGAAACTTTTTTTTTTTTCCTCCGGTCTTCTGCCACCTTTTATTTTCAGTTTTCTGTGATGGAATAACAACTGGTCAACTTAAGGTTACAGGTTTTTATCCTTCACATGCTAATTTGCTCTATGCTGACTTCAATACAAAGCACATTTCTGCTGACTCCTTGATGCTGGTGCTAGTGTCTCTTCCCGTTGCCGGCAATGGGATTTGGGCCAAGAAAATCAAATTCCTGGTATTTTGGGGGTTAAAGTAGTGATGGTGGTTAGGGTCACACCCTCTTTTCTAAACATTATCAAAACAACAGAACCATTGCTGACTTTAAATGCATACAATGAACCGTGCTTCAGCCATTTCCAGGGCTGCCAGAATTGTGGAGTAGTTCTTCCTTTCCAGAGAAAGATCTCTGGCCGTCACTCTCTCCTCCCCCTCCCTGATCTCCTGTTATTTTCCTAAGAACATAATTTAGTACAGAAGTGTGATAGTTCTACCCTTTTTTGTTACTATTAATATTTTAATCTAGACCAGAGGTAAATTTCTGGTTTATCCTTAACATCCTCCTTAGGCACATCTTAATCAGTTATTAGTACAGCTTGTGTGTTTCTGATGATCTAATTATACACACATAAATAGGGCTTTTCTTTGCATGTAGTTTGGTTGATACTATTTTTGTTTAAAAAAAAAAAATTATAGAATGTGGGAGTAACATTAAATGACAGGAATGTTTGAGGCGATGGTGTATTGAGTATTGACAACAGCTAGAAAACTCATGGGAAAGAAGAGCTGGATGGAGGGATTTGCTCTAGATATCACTGAACTCATACAACTTGCTGACATTTAACTAAAACTGATTTAATTTCTGGAATCATTCATGCAGGATTTTCTCGAGTTTTTATGTCCTGAATGGACAAGTGTTTTAGCATCTAAATATGTAAATCTTGAGATACTTCAGTTTGTGATTAAATTTTGGTTTATGCTATGAGTAGAGTATTAGATCTGATGTAAAACCAGCTAACCAAATTGTTACTTTGGATTCTTCATGACAAGACACCGCAACAAAAATCGGTATGTTCTAGCGCTCTGTCAGCTCTGTAATTAAACTTTTTTAATTCTGGGGGAGGGGAGCCAAAAAAAAAGGTGTATTCACTTGAAAAGAAATGAAAAAATGAGACTTTGAGACAAACGTTTGAAGGCAAATGTTCTCTGGGCAACTGTCACTGATATTCCTACGTGTCATGAATAAGAAATTTGTTCTACCAGACCTGGGAATTTTCAATGGAGTTTTACAATAACTCGCTCAAAGACTTAAATGTGGAAGTTTTAGGCAACATTTAAAGGCACATTTTTTCATCCTGGACAAAACTATGGATAACAGAAGACTAATGCATAAGAGGATATCAGAGATAAGAAGCATTGAAATAAAACTTGGACCACTTTGCATACATGTTTCTCACTTGACATTTTAGCTGCATATGTGCTTTGAGTATAACATCAAGCTTTAACAAATATTTAAAGAAAGAACATTACATCAGTAAGATATTAAAAGGCTCATTTTTATATTTGTTTTAGATGTTTTAACTAGTTGAAATGGCTTAAGATGACGAATAAAAATGTTGCTTGTAATACACTTTTGCCTGCTAAATTCTCCACATTTTGTAACCTGTTTATTCCTTTGGATGTAAAGCGTTTTTGCTTAGTATCGTGATATTGTATATGTTTTGTCCCAGTTGTATAGTAATGTTTCAGTCCATCAACCAGCTTTGGCTGCTGAAATCATACAGCTGTGAAGACTTGCCTTTGTTTCTATTAGACGGCTTTTCAGTTCTGTATTAAATATCTTAAGTACTGTAGAAAAGATGTCACCTCTTCCTATAAGGCTGTTTTGTAATATATATAAGGACTGGAAATGTGTTTTTAAAGAAAAGAAGCATTCAAGTATGACAATATACTATCTGTGTTTTCACCATTCAAAGTGCTGTTTAGTAGTTGAAACTTAAACTATTTAATATCTCATTTAATAAAGTGACCAAAATACATTCATGTGCCTTGGGATGCATTTTTTTAACTTTGGTGTTGGAATCTCTAAGGGTGCACAGAGGTTCATGAAGCGCAAATTCAGGGCTACCCAGCTGGTGCCCTGGGGGCCTCCTACCTGGCTGCTGCTCCCTCTGTTGCTCTGGCTTCTGCTGCAGCTGGAGGCTCTAGTCTCCTTCTCCTCCCTAGGCTTTTACAGCTTGCTCCCACCCCAAGGGGCAAAGCAGCCTGCAGTGCAGTGCAGTGAGTGAGCTGATGTTGGGATGACCCAAGTGCCTGTGGCTTATACTAACTAGGCCCCTGCTGGTGCGGTACACAGCCCCCAGCTATTCAGAAATGGGACGGCCCTGAGCTATGAATGGAGCATGTCATTGACTTGTTCTCAAGTATAAACTACCTTTTGCATGTTTTGTTCAGGAAAAACACTTGTAGAATCTACGCGTCAGAAGGTCTCACCTGATAGAGCGCTTCACTTTCTTAAATAGTTTTTACTGTGTGCCCACACTTGTATTTTCCAGTTTTTGACCACCGGAATTGTCCAAGTATGAGAGAGGTTGGTTCAGTCTTGTTAAGAAAACCCCAAACTTTGTCCTTGTTTGGCTACTGAATCCTGTTTTATTCACCAGTTGGCTCCTGTTCTGGAACCAGCCACAAAATAACCCCTATGCACGGCTTGTAAAGAGAAGCACTTGTATTTCTGCTCTAAAATAGTGCAATCATAAATTGCCAAAGTGCACTTTTCAAGGAAGGTCTTTGCTGGTGACATGAAAACAAAAATCTTCATACACAATACAATTCATTACAATAAATTGTATGATAAGGATCACTGCGGAGAGCCCCTGCGTTTAATCTCTGTGTAAATAATCTCTTGGTTATACATATGGCAACTTCCATTGAACCCAGTGGAAGATCCACACATGTATCGGAGGGCTTTCCAAGTTGAATGGTGAGTTCTATATGGAAAGTAGATGTCCATGAAGATTCAGCACAGTTCTGCTAAGACTTTTAATGCTAAAGTAGGTGTGGTAATGTGGGTGTGTCTGCATGTAAGAGGTGTTCAGTAAGGGAAAAATACTTCCTTTCCCTTTTTAAACTGTTCTAATCTGATCCTTGCAACCAAAACCTCTCGAGTGGTATATACAAGGTTAATAAATGAAACATGAGATTTTTGGGGAGAGAGATCCACCTAATGTTTCATCTCCTTATAGCAGGACAACAATCCCATGCTGTGCCAGTTAAGTGTTTGGGAAAGAGTGTAGCATCTGCAGCCTCATCAGCCCATGCAGGTAAGAAAATAGTTCTGCCCTCAGATTGGCCCTTTCCAGCTCTGCACCAGTGCTGATGTTGTCATTAATGTTTGCATTCAAGTCGTGAGCATTTGTTTTTGCCTTTCCATGCTACCAAGCACAAACAGCTGGAGGGTACATCCCAGAGTAAACGCTAGTGGGACACTCAAGGTCAGCGTGACTTCAAAAGACCCATGCTGCCTGGATCTAAGGGAGACCATAGCCTAGGAGATGGGTTCAGAGGAGGCTACTTTCTGTATAAATAGCCAGTAGTCCTGGCCCGCAGTCGTGAGTGTGCTGATGATGACCACCCTAGGCAATTTAACAGAGTCCGTGGGAGACTAAGTTTGCCAACTTCCTTGATGTTTGGTTTCTAGAACGCTCTGATAATGTATTGCACGTTATTGTGGAGATCTTCCATAAGCAGGAAGATCTGAGAAGACCCATTTCTTCTGCCTGGTGACCAAATTAACTAAATTGCAATGTAGTGAAAAGTAAAGCAGATTTGCTGTGTGGGAGTGGGGCAGACAGAAGGCATGAACCTGAAGGATGCTGACTGCCTCCAATGTATTGCTTTCATAGAAAGAGGGTGCTCAGCTCCCTTTTTAGGCTAAGATCCTAGTGTTCTTAGTTTGCTATTTTTTAAAAACTGGCTTTGACAGCTGCACATATGTGCCATACTGCTTTATAAGACACCAAATGTGAAATGCTAAGTGATCCATGTGGCTTAAATCAAACCTAATCCAATGACAATAACCGCTTATTACTGTTAAGAATAGCACAAAATATGTTTATCAGATTTTTCTGATTCTTGCCTATACATGTTAACAGCAAAACAGGTAGGAGCGTGTGCCTGCTGTACCTTACATATTAATCTGCTGGATGTAATAAATAATTTTATTATTTATGGGAAGGAAAATGAGAACCTTAGGTCTTGTGTTTAGGCAACCTTGTCATACCTGCTGTGGTAGATTTACAACTACTATCCTCAGCCTTTTTCATAAGGGCAAACAGAGGCAGGAGAAAGAATGAGGTAATTTAACTAGCATTTCCAAAACTGGTTTTTTTTCCCCCTAATTAGGCAATGGTTTGGCATGCCATGCTCTGCTTGCCATACGTAATCCTCCAGGTTGACGTGTCTTCCTCACACCTCTCCTTTGTCATGGTACCAACAAAGATGCTACCACCTTTAGGCTGATTGTGTGTGCTGAGGCCATGGCATAGCCAGCTAAGCAGCAGTGCTTCCTGGCACTCCCCTGTCTACATCCATCTCTTCTTGATTGTCTTAATTCTAGATTGTGGGCAGGGACTGTTTTTGTCTCTGTTTGTACAATAGCTGGCACCACAGGGTCCTGATCCATGGATAAAGAACCTAGGCCTACAGGTAATAAATAAGTAGTGATATGATCAGATCACCTGTGATTGTGGTCTCATGATA